TTCCTTTATACAGGCGGATATCTTAAGAAAACCACCTGTTTAAATGGATTTCCAGAGGCATTATTTTTATCAAACAGCCGCATTTGTTAATCTATTTCCAGAGGCGGCTTAGTAGCATAAACCGTCTGTAAAATTATTTTTAAAAATTCAAATGCTTACCGCCATATTACTATTAAACCTTATCACATCATAATCAATTATAACAACATACCCAAATATGCATCATAGGCAATTATATTTCCATGTATGACAAACACAAATACTTACTTCATTCTACTATAGTCATCGTCCAAGTACATACATCAAGCATAGCATACATATATATACATCAAAATTTTCAACTCATAAGTTCCATGAAAAGTCACTAATAATAATCTTTGTTTAGTTCTAGCCTAGAAAAAATCTGCAAGATCTTATTATTCTGGCTTTGCTAACTCAGAGGTATCATCATGATATTTCCCATCGAAGTGAACAATGTCGCGCATGATCAACCGAAACATGCCCTCAGATATGTTTCTGATGTTTGTATCTTCGAGATGATTTTTTGGATGGCAATGATGTACCCGCAAAGAAAGTTTATAGTCATCATATATTTACAGGAGCAAACAAGTTGTTGAGCTCTATTTACACTCCCTACATACCACGGCTCCCTCCCGCCCTTTCTCTTCTCTGCCCCATCCTGCTGGTGGTGAACTAAAGCGTCCCTCTCTTATATCCACTTTGCTCCATCATCGACATCCTCGTTGACGCACACATCTGCAGTGCACGTTTGACGCTGTTATGAAGCCGTGGTTAGTGTACTTGATCGCATCTAAGTTTCAATCCATTCGCACCATGTTTCTTGGTTCTAGAAAACCCTAACCTTAGCTGCAATACTATTCTTGGATCTGTAGATGAAAATTACTTTTCTTCTTTTGGAGTTGGTGGACTTCTATCTTTGTCAATTCAACTTGTGATTCTTATTCTATGCATTGATTCACCAAATCAGTGCTTTGGACAAGCTGCTTTTGCACATGCTGATGATAAGTTAGATGATACTGTACCAATGAATGTGTACAAGGATGTAGAGGTGAATGCTCTAGATGACATGGAACTAATGGTGGTCGATCAGGATGTTATGCAAGATCAGCAGGATCTCATGGACATTTACCTGGATCAGATGGAGATTGATTAGTTTTTTTTTTGTGAATTATGGAGATTGATTAGTTAATTAGTTATGCAAGTAATTTGGTACAAATCACATCCTTTTCTCTAGCGCTTTCTCTGGTGCCCCTCTCTGAACATTTCTGTTGACTGCTGACCCTCTCTATTTCCACTCTAGAAACCCACCGAAGATGCTCTTTCTTTCGGTGCCTTGCAACGGACGTTTCCGGTGCCCTCTAAAACTATCTGTACATCTTCAGTTCAGCAGCCTAACTTCTGGTGCTCACTTGTGCTAACCAACAGACATTTTAGTTGTTTGCTCCTGTACAGTACTGACTCTAAAGCCTTTTCTCCAATGCTCTGTTGCAGGAAACTACCAGAGAATTCCGGTGACTGCAGAAACAACAACGTCCACTTCTTTTCTTCTTGTCTCTGTGTTCGGACTTCTTCTAAATTGTGTCTTTACATTTATCATGTCTCGTAGGTCTTCAACATAGCTCCTAATGTCTTGCTTGAGGTGTTGATCACTCTGATCTTGCATCCAATGAACTAAACCTTGTGTACTAGCAAACAATTTTAGTCCAATGATCATGTTGTCCATCAAACACCAAAATCATACAGTGGCCCATGCAAGGTGCCATTTTCCTTACAAGCATCAACATACAGTAGGTGTCCATTCGTGGGCTATTGGCGTGAGGTGGTGCTCGTGACCAAGGATAGAATCTTGTGAGATGCCGAATGTAGTCACTGCCACTGCAACCAAGCACTTCCGTACATGGCTTATCACTACCATGCTGGTCGCCAAAGACTCCTACCAACCCATCTTCATCGAGCATCGTGAGGAGCACCAACCCAGCAGTGTCGCCACCGCACACGCAGCCACCATGCAATGCGCACGTAGCGCCCCACCTCCGCATGCACGCCGACATGGTCCACCCCCGTCCAGGGGGTTGGTTATGGATTCCATGTCAATGAATATTGGCTAAAAATGAAATTATTGCAATGATTGGCTACGAATGGACATTGCAAAGTATAATCATATGGCATTAAAACGTTAGTGATGCTTATCACCAACGGTCCGTAATACGAACTATTGGTGATGAGAGTATCACCGCTGATTCGTAATAACGTCGTGGTTGATAACTATCACCGCCGCTTCGTCTTACCAACCGGCGGTGATATTCCGTCATCATAGCTGGTTTGCACCACCAACCGACGGTGATGATGTGCTCCTCATCACTGCCACCTCGCCATATGAACCGGCAACGAAGACGTTTTTCTCCGTCAGCTTGTTGTAAGATACGGCGGTGATAACCATGCTATGACACAATAAAATTCATAACTTTTTCAAATAAAGTTGGATGAAAACAAACTTTATATGAAAGTTATAGATCTCGACGAGATCTACAACTTTGTAGTTGATGACTTTTTTATTTGAAACCATTTGTGGTCCCAAAATTCTTTTTGAAGCCCTCAAATTTGGAAATTCAATTATTTTCGAATTATACAAATGACCTTAGTTGGAAAAATGAACAAAACCAAAATTATAGATCTTGATGAGAACTATAACTTTGTAGTTGATACATATTTTATTAGAAATCATTTATAGTCTCAAATTTGTATATGAATATTTAAAATTTTTAAAAACCAAAATTTTCAAACAACTTTGAATGGAAAATTGACCAAAAGCAAAGTTGTAGATCTTGATGAGAAAAACAACTTTGTAGTTGATGAGTTTTTCATTTGAAATCATTTGAGGTCCCAAAAGTCTGAAGTTTTGACATTTTGAAATTCTTTAAATTTGTCAAACGACCTCGGGTGGCAAAACAACCAAAATCAAAGTTGTAGATCTTGATTAGAACAACAAATTTATAGCTTATGACTTTTTCATTTGAAGTCATTTAGGATCCGAAATATTCATTTTAAATTATGAAAAGTGAATAATAGGGGAATAGATATGATATATAGACACAAGTGACTTAGGGATGCAGTAGTTAGAGGAGAGTGGTTAGAGGAGCAAAGGACAAAAGTCTGAGGTTCGAATCCCACCACCATCGCGTATCATGAAAAATAGCGTGGAGCTGGTGGGAGGGGCTTCCCACGATTAAAACTTTTTTTTTTGCTATTTTTTGACCCATTTTTGGGATTTTTGAAAAATCAAATCACCGCCAGCTGGTAATACGAACCGCCTGTGATAAGCTAGTATCACCGCTTGATTTACAAACCGTCTGTGATGAGAATATCATCACCACCGACAGCTTATTGCGTAGACCGAAAAGCGCTAGTGATAGGCTTTACGAACCACTTGTGATTGGTCTGAATGTAGTAGTGATAGACTAAATTTTACTAGTGATCCTCGAACTTATCCTGAGTTCTCATCTAGATCCTTGTACTTTCAAATTTGCATATCCAACTCCCTAAGGCCCTTTTTAGCGGAGTTCCCAGAGTTGATTCTCTGATAAATCAAGCCAGAGCTTTGCCAAATAGTGTTTTCAGAGAGAAGTAATTCTCTACTAATCCTGGTTCTACGAAGTCATTTTTCATTGTGATTTTGAGAGTTTATGCTAAAGAATAATAAAGAATCTCTTTCAGTCATAGAATGACTTCCCTTAGAGGATCACCTCCCATGTAGAATCGTAATCGAGATGGAGCTCTACCAAATTGGCCCTAAACTTGTCCTGAGTTCTCATCCCGGTCCTGGTATATGTAAATTGCACGCACAGGTCTCTAAAGTTATATTATTGTACCATTATCCATCCACCACCGCACCACCGTCCTCACACCCAGCACACCCTAATGTCCACCTTACCCACATAGCCACATAGCGTTGCACCATGCTCTCCATACTACCTCACGCCTGCCTATGTTGCATGATCGGTGCAATGTCGAACCCATGTTGCCATGCTAGGCCATGCCATGCCCGCCTGCACCGCTGTGTCGCACGCTACATTCACCCTACCTTGCAATGACAACCCTGCCATTGCTGAGAGAGGTGAGGAGGTAAGGAAGGCTAGGAGAGTGGGGAACTGAGTGCGAGGAAATGTCAAGAATGAGCATGAGCTCCTATGCAATGAGGGAGATGAAGGTGTGATGTGGTGGCATTAGTGGTGTTGAATGCAACTGCCACGAGGTGAGGGGCGATACCGCAATGAGGTGGAGTAGGAGCGAGTCAAGGAGAACCGAGGACCAATATGGTGAAGGCTCGGCTAGAACGTGGCAAGCATGACAAGAGCGGCAAGGCAATATAGCAGGTCCTAGGAAGCTAGGTTTGCACATCCCTCTTGAGGTCCTGACACACGTGCTATCTTCCGTGCGCTAACCACTGTGGATGGACGATCGTGGTGTGGCCACATGAGTGTGGTGGGCACATGCAACGCAGCCTGGGGAAGTGGATGGGCCGGGATGGTACATTAATATGGGTTTAGGAAGTTGAGTGTGTATTTTAAAAGTACCAGGACCGAGATGAGAAATTGGGACAAGTTTGGAGCTGAATGCGAAATTTGAAAGTACCGGGGCCTGGATTAGAACTCAACAAGTTGAGCTAAATGTGTAATTTGAAAGTATAGGGGCCTAGATGAGAACTCGGGACAAGTTTGAGGACCACCGTTGAAATTTACTCTATAATCGTAGTGGACATGAATATTGGAACTTAAATAATGAAGTTACCTGTTCTTACATCATTCGTTAGGTTACTAAATTTGCATTGCTCAAATGTCCTACTTATCTTTATTACAGTCTGTATGTATATTTCTGATGATCGGTTGAATCTGAATATTTAAACAAAAGGAAAATGATAAAAGAGTTTACCGACATACTTGAACTGTTGAGAATGTATATGTGGACATTGTTGCTTGCGTCTACACAGGTGTGGTGAACACCTCCTTCCCCAACATCACAAACATGACGGCTGGAGTGCTACAACCCATTGCAATCACGAAATATGCAAGCCATGCCGACTTGTCCACAACAACGAGAGATATACGGCTGTGGTCAATGACACGACCATAGCTAGGCAAGCAATGACCGTGAGCCAGTGGCTCCACGCCACCTGGCTGCTCCTAAAGTCTTGCACCTCCCTTCTTGCCCAAATGAAGGCGAAGACGACGATGATTGAGCTTAACATTGCCAGGGTGTTGGCTATGACGAACAATTTGAATGCTGCGTGGTGGCCTAAAACAGCCGTGCCGTTCTGCTGGTCGTAACCTCCGGGCATGGTGAATGTGGAAGAAAAGGTAACAGTGGCAATTAGAGTCGCTACGAGAGTGTACGTCCCCATCCTAACCTCGATGTATCGGCTAAACTCACTCCACCAATCCGGTGTTCTGATTGGTGGTATCTGTTTGTTTTTGCACTTATAATACTCTTGCTTCTTGAGTTCCTTCCACAAGTGTATCTGGAATTAATAAATTACAAAGAAAAGTGTCAGCTAGCCCACAGTAAAAACTGAACTTATTTGGGCATGTATCTTACCATTGAGCTATGTAATATTTGTTGTCCCTCAATCAGGCTTCGCGCGGTCTGGCCATCCCGGTCGACAAGGCATGGATCCACCCTCCAGTCCCTGAGCAGTAGGCGAGACGATTGCGGCCGACCGAGCTTGACAGCTAGGTGCAGCGGTGTGTTGCCCTCTTGGTCAGCCCGGTTCACAATCCCCTTGGAGTGCACATGCTTCAGCAGGCACTTGAGAGAATCCACCATGTCGCTCACGACGGCGATGTGGAAAGCATTCCTGTTTAAGCCATCCGCTAGCATCTCCATCTCGGCAGTGTCAGGGCACTTGCTCAGAATCCCCATGATGGCCTGTGTTGAGCCATAACGGACGGCGACATGCAACGGGGGATGACCATCTTTGTTCCTCCTATACGCGAGTTCAATGCGCTTGTTGAGCAGTATCTTCACCATGCCACCCCTGTTCCTCTCTGCCGCGTAATGCAGGGCATTATTTGCTGACAAGTCGGTTCGGTCTGTTAGCTCCGGCCTCCTTTTTAGTAATATCTTCATGATCCCTGGTAAAATAAAGAAAAATCAACAACATATGTAATGATGTCTGTCCATGCAATATCTGCACGATACCTATCCAATGTAATAAATAACTAATTCATGTAAGGTTAAACATCTCATATCATTCAGTTAGTTGGTTTATATAGTTTTTGCCAAACGAACCGACAGACTGATGAACAAAAAGATCAGGGTCTAATCAAAGTCTAAGTTGACCAACTGTGCTTTAGACAATGTCTATTTCAGACTGTCTGCTTTAAGACAAGGTAATTACCTTAATTTCTTACCAAGGATTTGAAATTAAATTTGAAAAGGAAAACCAGTTACAGTTAGTTCATATAAAAGAAAATAATGGAATCAAAGGCAAGTTGGGACAGTTAATAATGGTAGCGTCTTACTGATATGATCGCCAAGAACTGCTTGGTGAAGAGCTGTGCCACTAAAAGTTTCATAGGGGTTTAGCTGATTTTCCACGCGTGGTATTTCAACGATCTTGACAACAACATCAAGGAGGCCTTCCCTTGCAGCAATGTGCAACGGTGACTCCATCCTCTCATTCAACAAATAGATACAATTTGGCTCAGCTTCGATCAGCATTAGTGCAACTGCAGTCCTGTGATTCTGCACCGCCTCGTGCAATGCTGTGTTTCCTGAATCATTCTTCATCGAAACAGGACTCTGCCAAGCAAGAAGCCATCTAAGTCAACAATATCTTTTTACTGTCTCTAATATTTTTTCAATATGATGCTTAAGGAGTAAAAGACAAAAGCATTTCTTTTCCACTACTACGATGTTTTAGGAATACCAAATTCTTTCTTATACAAGAAACTTGCTCAAGAGGATAAAGGAATGTCCCAAGGGTGCTTGATGTGCTCAGTTTCATTTGGCAATAGTTTCACTTCACGTTCCATGATCCTAAGAACAGTTGTGGCAATTCTTCTTATATCATGTGTACGACTGAAAAGATCACCAAGGGCATCTTTAACAATAAGTTTTTTTTTTACTGAAGAAGCACTTTATTAACTTAAGATAATTACACCGAGTTGATACAATCATATTGAGATCACTTCTGTTCGGACATCTGCATTAAGGCACACAGACATAATTCATAGAAGAAGACCCCCCCACCCCCACCCCCCACCCCCCTCCAAAAGATCAGTGACACCTCGAGCTGAGTTAGTATCTTCGACTTCTGCTCTACATGTTTTTTAAATCCATCTTTTCAATAATAAAAAAATGGTTTTTGAAGACGCCATCCAATACATTCTATAGGCAGTTTATGTTGCAAACAATATATGTATATTGTAGAGGTTAGCTCAGTTTGCTGGAACCTCCTGTGGTGAAGCATTTCTATAGGCAGTTCCTGAGCACCACCAATAGTACGTAATTTCACAATATCCATTGTTTGTCACTTAATAAACTGCTGATAGAAATAATGTTCTCTTCAGGCGGTTTCTTAAGTGATCAACTTGCAGCTTATGTGTCTATATAGACCCTTGAACAATGCTCTGGTAGCTCAATGATAATGGCGGCCTCAAAATTGTAGAAACCCAAGGAATGGGACGTTTTGAAATTGAAATTCTTGGAGGAATAGGATCTTTAAGGCAACAGCATGAAACTGCTCTCTCTTTTTATATCCCCCTCTCTTATTTTACATCTAGATCTAGAGAGAGAGCATATTGGTGGAGAGGTGTGCAAAGAGTGGGGAAGAGAGGGGAGAGAACCCTTCTCATTTTGAACTTGAAATTCTTGTAGGAATAGGCTCTTTAAGGTAAGAGCATCAAATTGCTCTCATTTTTAGCTCTCCCCATCTCCTTTAAGATCTCTCCCTCTCTCTCTCTCTCTATTTTAATCTAGGAGGAGAGAGAGAGAGAGAGAGCATAGTGGAAGATATAGGTAAAGAGGGTGGTGTAGAAAGAGAGGGGAAGAGGGGCTTCTACCTCTCTTTCCTATCCCTCTATAACCACTAGATGTATACGGACTAGGGAGAGATCGCTAGATTTATCTATCACTTTATCTCTATGTCCCTCTCATAGTTTAAAAAATAATGTCTATTATGATCGTCTTTGATTAATTTTTGTTTCTTTTGTTAAAGTTATTTCTAATTATTTCACCTTTGTATTTAAGTTTTGGTTAAATAAAGTTCAAGATGTAAAGGGCATGGATGTACAATGCACCAAGACATGAAGGTATATTCTTCAACAAGCTCAATACTTTTATCGAGCAGCCCAGAGAAACGCTCGGACTAAGAAGGAAAAGGAAATACTTTATGCATGCAAAAGAACAATGTAGCAGAGGGAGATCCCAAGAATAACCAAATCACACTTCATTACGAGAGGTATTATTGATGATTACACAACTTAGTCCCAACATAGTGAGCAACATACACCTCAACGAAAAGATGGCATTCCTGCTGATCAAGTTGATGAGAATTGTAACACCCTAAAACTTGCTTCTTTTGAAATAGGCTTATAAAATGATTTAATTATATATTTTGTGCTCATAAACACATAGAGAAATAATAATTTTTCATTAAGTTAAAATTTATCATAAGGTAGAAACATGTTTGAGCATACATGCAGTTGCATGATTGATTGGAATGAGTGATTTTGACCAAAGCTAAAAATGATTCAAAATGATTTTGAAAAGGGTTTTGAAACAAAAGAAAAAGAAAACGAAAAGAAAAACCCTCTTCTTCCTGTTTTGGCCCAAAGGCCCGCTCTCTCCTCTCCCGCAGGCTCTCAATCTCTTTCGGCCTGCTCCCATCTCCCTCTCCGCAGGCCCAGCGCGCCACCCAGTGGCCGCACTAGTAGGCCGCCCACCAAGAAGCCCCACGCGTAGCCTCTCCCTCTCTCTCTGTTTGATCGACGAGCACGGATCGCCCCTGGTCGGCCGACACCACAGCCCTCCGGTCGGTGTCATCCCTTCCTTGCGCCGTGCTCGAACCGGACTCGACCGGGGTGGGTTTCCACGCTCGTCGTGCCTCGATTTCCGGGATTTTGGCGTAATCCCTCGCCTAGCGCCTTTTGAGAAGCCGGAGACCTTCGCCGCACCCCGTTTCACATCTTCGGCTGCCGCTTGCCTAGCTCCGCCTCGCCGCCACGTTTGAATCTCGCCGATGAGCAGAGCAAAGCCACCGCCGCCGACGCTGTCTGCGCGCCTTGCCGTTGTTCGTGACCCCTTTCCGAGATCCGAGATGAGATGAAGAACCTGCCTCGCCTTTCCATCCTTCTCTTTTGTCTCTGTTGTTCACACGCCACCGCCGAACCTTCGCAGGAAAAACCAACCGCCCGTTGAGCTCCGCGCCGTCTCCCTTCGGTCCCGTCGTCAAGAAGTCCCGTGGTGAGCTCACCTTCACTCCTATTTCTCCCGTGCTTTTAGTTTTGAAAACCGAGATCCCTAGCTCCCGTTCGTGCTTCTCCAAATAAGCTCCATCCGCTGCAATGGCGATCCACCGCGTCGCCTTTCCCTGCTCCAAATGGGATACCCTTTCGGTTCACCGTGAACTCGAGGACTCACACCATGGTTCCACATAAGCCGGTCCACCACAGACCAGCCAACCCTTAGCCGCCACGTGGTCGCCGACCACCGCCGCGCCTTTTGCAAAACGGCCCCTGTAGTTTCGCGTAATCGAACCCGTCGTCCCTGCCGCTGTTGAAAGTCTGTTGTTATTTATTTTAATTCGATAATGTTTCCAATATTCACAGAACTGCCATTAGACACAGTTTAGCTCATATCTTCACCATTTCAGCTCTAATTAATGTGCTTTTTGCACCTGTGTGTTCGTAACAACGTGTACAACATCTTTGAAACCTTTTTCACTTGTTGTTTCATATGTTTGGTGTACTGTTCTAATTTAGTTTTATTGTTTACTTTGTGTATGATTGCATGGATGTTTGTATGGTTCTTTATGCTCATGTCCAGTAAGTGAGGTTTCGTTGGTGATCAAGAAGCATTCCATTGGAGGTTCGGACTGGAAGAATGATCGAGTTTAAGGCAAGTATAGCATGGGATCATCCTTGTTTCCCATTAAACTTAATAATACACTTAATTCATATGCATGTGTCTACCTTGTCACTTTAAGGATATCCTAGCTTTTGTGCCCTGTGCCTTGTTACCTATGGATTATGCATTGGGTAGTATATTGCTAGCGCTCGAATTAAATAACCATGATCTTGTAACTTGACTAATTAATGGTATATGCAATAAACACTAAAAGATGATTTTTAGCAACATGGTAAAAGGGGGCTGGAGTGTTTGGCTACTTTTCCAAATGCTTTAGTTTCTGTTCATAATGACTTATCTGTAAGTGATCACCCCGGGACATACAGTACAACCATGAGAGCTATGGCTTCGGCTTTGGCTTTAGCTAAGTAAATTGAGCTTTTCTAGCTCGTTAGTGGTTACCAAAAAGCACAAGGAAGACCGTTGCAGAACGGCTTCTTGTCCCTCAGGGTGTGTATAGCCTGCGTGAAATATGTCACTCTGTTAGAGGGGCTCCATTCGCCTAGCTGCTGAAATCTAGCGGCTAATAACTTGTTAGAGGGACTTTCAAAAGGCTTCACAGTGAACCCTGCCAACCTTCTTTGGATAGCAGGTCAAGAGGTTGATCTTCTCGGGCAAAAAGGCAAATCACGACTCATGAATAAAGATGTACAACCTCTGCATAATGTCTTAAAACTGTTATAACAGTCGTGTTCACGGCCACGAGCGGTTTTGGGACCCTTATGGAATAGAAGAACACCTATAATTAATTTGTTTTTGCTATACATTATTCGTGGTACATGATCATGTGCTTATTTGGGGTTTATGTTGAACTTGTTGCTACTCTATTACTAAAAACTATGACTTACTAAAAGCTGACCGCAGTAAACCCATGTCAAACCTTTTGAGCTTTATAACCCCATGTTATATATGCTGAGTACGATATGTACTTACACTTGCTTTATTTTTTAATACTTTGAAAAAATCCCGGATGGGTACCAGATTGCTAGAGGTTGGAGGAGTTAGGCTTGTGATCAACCAGTAAGTTGTCCCTATGGTGTTGGAGTTTTCGCCTGAAGAACGGAGTTATCTTTTCACTTTTTGCTATTTATGGTTATATACTCTCTGTACTAATACATTATGTAAAGCATTGTCCTTTGGTATTTTCCATTATTTGTAGCCATGTGTTTGATTGACTTCTTGGGCTCACATATGGTGTATATCTGGCTTTGTTCTTAAAATCAGGTGCTATAGAGTTGAAGGTGACACTGATGCTATGGTAGATCATCATTTGATGGATGATGTTCACGTCATTGGTGTAGAGGAAATGTTTTGACATGTAGAATGACATGTTTGGATTGAGATGATAGGTTTAGATAATGTCAAGGCTTTGCGAAAGGCGTCAAGGCATTTATTGCATGAGGAATCAAAGGGCTATGACAAGGAGTTTATGGTATTGCATATTGTGCTAATGCTTCTAATATTGAAGGCTCGCAATGGATGGTCGAACAAGACTTTCTCAAATCAGTTTGGGGCTCTAGAAAAAAATACTTGGCCTACCCATGTTGCCTACCAACACTTGTCTCACGAAGAAGCTTATCCTCTATATCATCTACCTTAAAGATTACAATGACTTGAATTGATACCCAGTGCGCAAGGAAAGTCATTATAAGAAGAATAAGGACTATGGGTAAGATGAAGATGCTTTGGCCAATATGAAGAAGACCAGATGAAGAAGAATACTATTGTTACTAATAATAGAAATGAAGCTTTTTCAGGTGTGGGGAACAAGAAATTAAACAAGCTTTGCTTGCTGATGTGGCACTTGCCAGTTATAGCTAGCTTGCCTAAAACAGTTGTTCTTGAATGACAAGGACTCTCAACTAATGTGTAGGCATTCTTCCGATAAGCACAAGACAGATGGACAATGGAGAACTTTTTATTACAATCATCAAGAATTTAGTGGTGAACCAAAGAATGTAAGATTCACACTAGGTTTCGATGATATGAATCCTTTGAGTGAACGGAACGCCACAAATAGCATTTGGCTAGATTACAACCTTTTTCCATGGCTATGTATGAAATGAAGATGCTTTATGTTGTCTATTTTTTATCCAAGGACCGAGACAAAGAGAGGTAGATATTGACGTGTTTCTAGAACCGGTGCTAGAATATATGGTCAAGTTGTGGCATGATAGGGTCCGGTTGTGGGATGAGTTTCATGGACAGCTAAAAGCCCTTATTTTATTACCATCACTGATCATTCTACCTACCACTGTCCCTATCTAGATAGCTTAAAAGAAAGACAGTATGTATTAAGTATGCCCTATGGATACCACCCACAAGGAGTAGCCCTATGGATGGAGTTTGGTGCGTATGGCACAAAGATTCTATATATGCACTTTAAGAATTTTATAAGAAAATATTCTGATTTATTTGTCAAAATACATAGTATTTGTATGGGTTTAATTCCATACTAGAAATTGATGGTGCAGGAGCACAACATAAAGTGCGAGAGTAGCCCTCACCAATCAGGGTAGTCTTTTTGGTTGAGTTAGTCCTGGCGCCTTGTTTGTTATGGGCTCCGATGGACGTGGGCCTGAGGGGTTGTCAGCTCATGAGTATAGCGAGCTGGGACAGATCTGCTACACACTCTAACAATGGGTATCAGAGCTCATATTCAAAAAATATGAAAAATCTCAGGGGTCACATATCGTGACAGGGCTGGAGTTTGTTAATGTCTCGGAAGTCACACGGGATGTACATGACATGGAGCTTTGGACTTAGGGCTTGAATCATGTCTTTTAGAGATCATATGGGGTTGTATCTTAGGGTTGTGAAGAGTTGGACGTGATATGTGACAGAGGAGATTTTAAGGTTTCGTCCCACACCGAAAGTTGATGGATGATGATGGAGGAGCACAACATATAAAGCGGGGCATCCTAACCTATAATGCTAGATTTTTTTTTGGGTTGAGTTAGGTCTGGCACCTTGTTTGTTGTGGGTTCCAATGAACCCTAGGCCTGAGGGGGCGCCAGCTCGTGGGTATAGTGAGTTGGGCTATTATGCTATGCACTATAATAGTATTATTGCTTCTATGTATTGGTCATGAATGGAGCATTGCTCTGATGATTAGGTTCCTTGTCGAACCTGTTCACATGGTTCAAGTCCTTTAACTTTGCACATGTGCGGCATATTCTCGATAATGATAATGAGACATCTATGATGAGTATTTGTCTATAGTGGGTTTCAAAATGGGTTTCAAGAAGGGTTTCAAAGAAAAAGAACATAATGCTTTATTCTTGTTTCTTGATCTAAATTAGGCGATACGAGAACAACAGAAAATAGGACGGTGATTCAGATATGAAGCTGAAGCGAAGCACCTCTATCTCTATGTTTGAGAAGCGAAGAGAGGGGACATTATCACCTGAATGTAGTCTTCCTTGGGCCACCGCCAGGCCTGCACCTGCGCGAGATTGATGAGGTGTTCAGCGACGTCCAGCTTCCCTGCGCGTGCCGCCAGGTGCAATGGCGTATCGCTGTCGTTGTTCCGGCTGACGAGCAGCTCCTCGTTCACCTTGAGTGCCTCCTTCACGAAGCCTCTGTGCCCATGCGACGCAGCAATGTGGACAGCCGTGTTGAACTGGGGAGTCATGTGGACAAGGATGCCGGCGCCGCTGCTGGACACAAGTTGCGCGAGTCTAGCGACGTCCCCCCGGGTCGCTGCCGCGTACAACTCTGGGTCCATCCCTGCCATCGGTGTCCACATTATTGCTACGTGCCCGACCTGAAGTTTGTCGCAGAAATGAAAAGATTAGAGCAGACGATCAACAAGATGATGAGTCACCGTGATTTTGCAGACAAGAAAGCTGCTCACCTGTCCGCAAGCTAGCCTTACCATATATGAAGTTCTTACACACTGTGAGAGTGAGCACAAAGTATTATATGTGCGAGACAGGATTAGGCTGTGTATAACGTGTGGACATGAGAGGGCACAAGGATCTTGGAACGGCATAGATACTTTGTTTAGCGTATCAAGGTTGGTACTGGTTCCTGGACACAGCTTGCATTTCTTCCACCCTAGGTTCTCATCATCCTAACTTCACTTTCTTTTTAAAAGTAGGACCAACATTACTTGCAAGTTGCAACCACAATATGCCTGTCAACTAATGATTAAATTTCATGGTAAGCCTATGTCCACAGCATAACTGCCAGCCCAAATAATAATCTTGCAATAGAGACCCCACAGTCACGATACTTACATTTGGACCTATTTGTGGTCAAACTTTCTGAACTTCAGGCTGGTGAAGCCAAAAACACAATCTTATCCTACAATTACTAATTAGAAGCTCCTCGCGAAACTTTCATGTTACTTCTCAGCACACGCGCCAGAGAAAAAGATAATAAATCTTAGAAATTCTCACACTAGTACAGAACCGAGCTTTACTCCCGGTGGGGAACCCCCTCTAGTCCCGGTTCCCCACCCGGGAGCAAGCATCCGGGACTAAAGGGGGGGTCCTTTAGTCCCGGGTCAGGAACCGGGACTAAAGGAGGACCTTTAGTCCCGGTGGGTAACACCAACCGGGACTAAAGGTGCCTCCTGACATGCCACGATGGCCGGCACCTTTAGTCCCGGTTGGTAATACGAACCGGGACTAAAGGTTTTTTTCTTTTTTCTTTTCTTTTCATTTTTTTGTTTTCTTTTCAAAATAGGTTTTCGAAGTCGTATTGTACGCTGCTAATTATACATTTATACGCGCATATAGTATGTTTCGGTCAAGCACAATGAACGTATTAAATCACACAATTCAATCATAGAAATATATATATATATATATATATATATATGCATGCATGCATCATATATATATTTACATGCATGCATGCATATGTGTATTTTACATTATATTATTTCATGTGCATATATTACAAAAGATTGCATTATAGTTGTTGTGACATAACAAGTTTCTTCTCATCCTCTAGCTTGGCTTCAATGGCAGTGTTGGGTCGAAGTAGAACTCGCCCTTGGAATCGATGACCTGCTCATTAAAAAATCCGGCTATAGACTCTTGAATTGCTTTGATTTGGTCTTGCCGTATGACCTTTTCCTCCAACCATCGAGTCTACAGGTTTGAATTAAAGGAAAATAAATTAATATATGTACATATATATATATATAAAGACATAGTAACACAATCAATAATAATAATTAAATGAATATATAGTGTATTTTAACGTACTTTGAGTCTCTCTGTAGGAGTTCTTTGGGAGAGCACCTTGATAAACTTGCAAACATAGTAACCACAGATGGTTGTTCCCCTGTTCACCTTAGACACCACTTTACGAGAAAAAGATTTGTCATCCAATCTGTGATCCGGTGAAAGCTATATGTTGAATTAATAAAGATGATGCGATTCGGGACTTACTTTCAAAGGGATTACATTCGATGGCGCTTTGCATTTTTCCATGTGTTGCTTCTCAATAAAGGTTTTCCAAACACTTTGCCCAATAAAAAATTTGCCACGTCATCGATATAGTTAATCATCATGTTTGTGTGTATATATAGTTGCTAGAGATCTCAAATTACCTCTGGATAATATCTATCATATCTTGGTAGTCTTGTTGTGGTTTTCTCATCGAGTCATAGATTATCAAGTGACTTTTCACCGGATCGATGTCCATCAATATCCAAAGGATTGCTGCATGTGTTTATAGGATATAACGCATAACACTCATTAATTAACTAGAATCAACATATGAGCCATTAAGGCTATGATCGACATGATTAACACTCACTTGAAGTTATAGGAAAAGAGTATATCCTTCTTGTGGCGTTGGTTCACTAAGAAGTTCATGAGGTTACTCTCGACTCGGACTTCCAATTAGTCATTGGAGTAATTGGGTCTTTGAATACTATATGGGGATCAACAAAACCAATTTCATTGCAGCCTTCCTTTCTGAGCTCACATCATTGTAAATCTGCATATATATAGTACTTGTTAGGATAATTTATATGCATATACACACATATGATGAGTTTAATAATAGATCGAAAGAATTATTACTTACAGGCAATAGCGACTAATGATAACTTTGTCCGGAGAGGTCGGTGGCATAGTTGATGAAATTACGCAAAGTCAACATACATAACATCATCGCCACGGAACCAATGTTCGTCTCTAATTCGACACCAACGCAGAAGTCTCCATTGGTAGACGCCTTTGCATGTACCACTTGTTTAGCGGTGTACATTTGCGTCCCCAGATCAGATAAGGCTTGAGGGTTGTATAGACTCTGGCCTAGTACAAATTTTTTCTTCCAAATATCAACCTCCGCCGCACTCTCAATGTTTCCATCACCAAACATCTGGTAAAGGTCGAGACCAGTCTCATCAAGAAATTCACCAAGGTGATCCAAATCGACATCCGGAGGTATGTTTGCCTGATGCATTAATCCTAAATTCGAACCATATTCATTACCAACAACTAGCGGGGGGATTGATTGGTGCGCTTGTTGTCCGAGTTGGGCAACTCCTTTCCCTGCCCGCTTCTTTTTCTGTGCCACCTCAATTGACTTGGTGAGAGTGCGGTCATAGTCTGATAACGTTGATTTGGACGGCTTACGAGATTCCCGCTGTTGATGCTGGTAAGAAATCACCTTTTTTCTTAAAATATCCGGAGCTACGAAGAAGTACGGTTTCTCCGGTTTCTCCTTGCTTCTTGATTCATTTTAAGTTTGTCATAGAATCTAGACATGTCTTTTTTATATGCATCAGTTCCTTCTTCCTTCTCTTCAGATATTATTTTGGGAATAACCCTTGGTTTCACGGTGGCTTTCTTTGCAGGCGGGGACTGGTTCTTCGTTTGAGGGGCTGACCTCTTGCTAGGCTTCTTGGTAGGCGGGGGCGGGGGAGGCGTTGGAGACCTCCTTGGAGGTGTTGGCAGCGGCGTTGGAGACCTCCTTGGAGGTGTTGGCAGCGGCGTTGGAGACCTCCTTGGAGGTGGCGGCTGCGGCGTTGGAGACCTCCTTGGAGAGGGTGTGGATGCAGCCTCGTCTTCCAACACAATGTCATCGTACAGAGCACTATGATGATCTGGCGATTGAACAATTGGATTTAGATTGGGGGAGGATCTGCTACAAAAAAAGGAATGACATATTATTATGAGCAGATTGTTAATTATTTAAGCCAATACAAATTAATGATGTAGTGTTTTCATCCGCACATACCTATGGTGAGGTAGTTCAGGAGGAGGTGGAGCCGACATCCCTGGAATGATGATGTAGCGCTTGCGCCATAGAATGAATGTCTTCTCCGCTTCTCCTAGAGTCTTCTCGCCATCACCTCCAGGAATGTCAAGAGGCAAATCACTAAAACCTTTTTCAGCTTTATCTACCGAGATGGTGGCATATCCTTCTTGGATTATATTCCCATGAATCCTTGGTGTCTTGGTTCGGTCGATAGGATTAACAAGACCGATAGCCACCTTGATTGTGGAATTCTCCTTGAATGTGTAGCTCACCCACGTTGTACAAGGTTCGATGGCGTCATCCACGAGGGAAGCGCAGTCTCCTGTGTCCCCTTGATTTGGTATCTCCGTGGAAGCGCAATGCTTTTCAACCGAATGAGTTGGCTAATGTTGATTCCTCGGCTCGATGCACGCTTGCTTGCACTCACTGCTATTTGCACTTGCCTTCTGATTTCCTCCTGCATTCTCGCTTCAAGGTTTTTTTCCCGCTCCTGTGCTTCACGCACCGCTTCCTCCAACCTCTGGAGCCGCTGTGCCTCTTCTTCCTTCTTTCTCTGGCGACTTCTTAGGAAGGTCTGGATCTGAGGGAATCCATGCTCCCACGAGACACTTCCTTTGCCTCTAGTTCGGCCACCATGTTCAATAGTCCCGATGGCGTATGTCAGCTCATCCTTCTCTCTGTTGGGCCTGAACGCACCACTAGCAGTAGCTCTCTGAGCATAAAGCAATCTTTCTGCTGCTTCTTGCAGTCTTGCGCCATAAACGCACTTCCCTGTCTCCTGGTCTAGTGTTCCCCCATGAGCGAAAAACCAATTCTTTGCACGTTCTCCCCACTCGAGTGATTCTGGTCTGATACCCTTGGCAAGAAGGTCTGCTTCCATTTTGTTCCACTTCTTAATGGCAGTCGGGTAGCCACCTGATCCCAAGGTATGGTGGTATGTCTTCTGTTGGGCATTATGTTGGTTCTTTATCACCCGACTCACACCCTCTTCCGAAGTCTTGTACTGTACAAACTCATCCCAATAGGGCCTCTGCTTTGAGATCGGGCCTGGGACAGTAAAATCTGGTGCTATGTTCTTCTTGACATACGTCGTGTATAGGTGTTTCTTCCAAGTCTGAAACTGGGTGGCCATCTTCTTCATTGCCCAATCCCTAACTCGCTCCTTCAATTCATCACCATCTATTATATCATCATAATCATCTGTTTGGAGCGTGAAATGTACCAAGACATCATTCCAAATTAACGCCTTGTCACGATCGGAGACAAAACTGATATGAGGAGCATTGGTCTTCTTCTTCCATTCACGGGTACTAATCGGGAGTCGGTCCCGTACAAGGTAACCACAGTGGTGCACAAATTTCATTTTATTCGGCCCCCCCGGTTCTCCTGTATCCACATTGAACTCTGAGATGATGAAGCGACCCTCCAATGGCTTTTTGGGACCTCGAACATTTTTACTCTTCGTTGTAGTTGTTGATGTCGATCCAGAGGGCTACAAAACATAAACATTATTTTTAATGTCATGAGCACACAGTGGTGCAATGGCGTATCGCTGTCGTTGTTCCGGCTGACGAGCAGCTCCTCGTTCACCTTGAGTGCCTCCTTCACGAAGCCTCTGTGCCCATGCGACGCAGCAATGTGGACAGCCGTGTTGAACTGGGGAGTCATGTGGACAAGGATGCCGGCGCCGCTGCTGGACACAAGTTGCGCGAGTCTAGCGACGTCCCCCCGGGTCGCTGCCGCGTACAACTCTGGGTCCATCCCTGCCATCGGTGTCCACATTATTGCTACGTGCCCGACCTGAAGTTTGTCGCAGAAATGAAAAGATTAGAGCAGACGATCAACAAGATGATGAGTCACCGTGATTTTGCAGACAAGAAAGCTGCTCACCTGTCCGCAAGCTAGCCTTACCATATATGAAGTTCTTACACACTGTGAGAGTGAGCACAAAGTATTATATGTGCGAGACAGGATTAGGCTGTGTATAACGTGTGGACATGAGAGGGCACAAGGATCTTGGAACGGCATAGATACTTTGTTTAGCGTATCAAGGTTGGTACTGGTTCCTGGACACAGCTTGCATTTCTTCCACCCTAGGTTCTCATCATCCTAACTTCACTTTCTTTTTAAAAGTAGGACCAACATTACTTGCAAGTTGCAACCACAATATGCCTGTCAACTAATGATTAAATTTCATGGTAAGCCTATGTCCACAGCATAACTGCCAGCCCAAATAATAATCTTGCAATAGAGACCCCACAGTCACGATACTTACATTTGGACCTATTTGTGGTCAAACTTTCTGAACTTCAGGCTGGTGAAGCCAAAAACACAATCTTATCCTACAATTACTAATTAGAAGCTCCTCGCGAAACTTTCATGTTACTTCTCAGCACACGCGCCAGAGAAAAAGATAATAAATCTTAGAAATTCTCACACACTACTCTAGATCCGGCAATCTCACCGCCAATTCAAAATCCATCATCACTGTCGCAAATTGATCCAGTAGAGGGCAATTTGCAGTGATGGGATCACCTATCACTGCGCTGGTTCCTAACCCGGGGTAGTGATAGTGTGATATCACTGCCGGTTTAAGGACAACAATAATACAAGCATCACTACCGGTTCTATTGTCCACCTGATGTGATATTGAGGTGATCACTACGATCAGGGGCTTCAACCATCAGTGACCCTTATTTTTATTTTTTATATACTTTATTATTATATTTAAATAGAGATTGTTCTCTAATATTTTACATTTGATATTACTAATATATCACATATATCTCACTGCCATCACATTTCTCATAAAATTCAATAATGAATATATCATAATTAGAAAACCATATATACATGCTTAATAGGTAGAGATGAAAGTCATTACAAAAGTAATGTCTCATTACCACAAAAACAAGTGGAGCACACCGACTACTACTACTAGTTATTTAGTGCCATGACATAGTGTGTGTAGTGGATGTCCATGATACAAATGGGCTAGGACTCAAAGCAAAATACAAATGACCCCGATAGCCAAGTGAGGTGGGCCTATTAACTTGCATAGTACCAGCGGTAAGCTCCATTGTTTGACTTAGAATGGCGTGAAAGAAGCTACATGCAAGGTACGTTGAATCATGATACAAAACCCCTACCAAATCGTTGCTATAAATGGCCGATTTGTAGGGGCGGTTGGCCAGCTGCCCCTACAAATCCGTTTCCAAAAATTCTCAAATCTGGGTCAAAAAAATATAGATTTTTTTAATTCAAGGAGGGCCCCACCTGTCAAAGTTGCAAGTCGTGGCATTTTTCGCGCGCTTCGCGGCCAATGGGATTCAAACCCATGACCTTCCCCTTGCGCATTCCCTACTCTAACCACTGCACCTCATACTCAATTGTGTCTATAATGAATTTTATTTCTCCTCATATTATGCTAAATTGATTTTAAATTGAATGTTTGAGACCCTAAACAAATTCAAATGAAAAAGTTGTCAACCACAAAGTTGTACAACTTTTCAAGATCTACAACTTTCATTTTTGTTGTTTGTCCATCTGAGGTCATTTACAAAATTTGAATTTTAAATGTGAGAAATTTAAACATAGTTTTCCTTGACAAGATGATTTTAAATAAAAAAGTTGTCAACTATAAAATTGTATAACTTTTTGAGATTTATAACTTTCGTTTTGGTTGTTTCTCCATCCGAAGCGGTTTAAAAAATTCAAATTTCAAATTTGAGAAATTCAAATGTAGTTTCCTTGACAAGATGATTTTAAATAAAAAAGTTGTCAACTACAAAGTTGTATAACTTTTCGAGATCTACAACTTTCGTTTTGTTTGTTTCTCCATTTGACAAAGTTCAAGTAAACTTATTAAAAAATTTACATATCTCTCATATAGTACCACATTGTTCAAGTAAACTATAAGAGAGAAGTGCAATTTATGAACAATGTATACTACCACTTTGTAGGATGAATAAATGACCAAAATAAAAGTTGTAGATTTTGATGGGTTCTACAACTTTTATGGTCATGACTTTTTCGGTGAAATCATTTACTAATTCAAAATATTGTTTGAAGTAGTCATTTTTTTGAAATTTAAATTGTGAATTATTCAAACAAAGTCACATGACAAGATGACCAAAATAATAACTGTAAGAACATAATAAATTGATAGAGCATGATTTTAGAAAATTTTAGGAAAAAAATCATGAAATTTTAAGTTAGTAGGAGGAAAAAGACTATTTATAAGTTTTAGCCAGAGATTAAAAAGAAATTAGACTTCTTCAACGATTTAAAATTGAATTTCAAGTATCATTTTAACAGTAAATAATTTCAAATGAAAAAGTTATAAACAACAAAGTTCTATAACTTTTTGAGATCTATAACTTTTATTTTGGTCATTTCTCCATCCGAGGTCATTTAAAAAATTTGAATTTTACTACTTAATTTTTACTATACGGCGTCTATTTGTAGGGGCAGCTGGATATACAATTGCCCTTACAAATAGGGTCATTTGTAGGTGCGGCTGATAACACCAGCAGCCCCTACAAAGCGGCTCATTTGAGAACCATTTGTAGTCGCAGCTCAATATAGAGTTGTCCCTAACAAAAAAGAGGGGTTGCTACGAATTCTTTTTTAGTAGTGAACTAAGTTATGTCAACAAATAAAATATGAGAATCATGAATAGAAACATATACAATATATACATTTTTTTTTTAGATCAACACCGGGGGATCAAGTTCTCCCCACTTGAATTTTCATTTCACACATACCGGTCAAGCCGGGGGTGAAAGGGCGTGGTGCCAATCTAAATACATTAAGTTCAGAGAAGTACATGACAAGTAGGAGAGAGATGGATTACAACACTTCACAGAACAACAACAAACACAACATGAATCAGCTACAGATCAGCCTACTAACCGAAGCGACTGCAAGCATAACTTCCTAACCTGTGCCACCACCAATGACATACTCCGAAGACCTCTAAACCACATACAGTTGTAAGGTATCGAGTTGGATCCGACAGACAACAGCCAGGAGGCTATAAGGCATTGAATCGGAGCCAACATACGAGACAGCTGTGAGTTGCATCTCCTATTAGCACATCTGGGCTCCAACCAACGCCCAACAATGCTATATGGGGGAAGGAAGCCTCGACGGGGGAGCAACGTCAAGGGGAGAATGAGGAGATCTAGAGGAGAGAACAAGGTCCCCGCAACCCATCGTATGATGAGCCAGAGCACTCAAGTGATGTGAAGGACGACGGTGCAAGCCGTTGAAGCACCACGTTGACTGTACCATATTATTTTGGTTGTGCTAAGCAATCCGTCCACTAACTGGCACTGTATCTCAACCTCATGTAAAACTTGAAGCCGAATAATGAGAAGTTAGAATATAGTATCCATTGGCCGCAAGCGCCTCCGAACATGCTTTCTTAGCATTTTTCTCAACAGTTTCTTTGATAAGGTGCCATCCTTCCCGTTGCATAAATTTATATGACGTCTCCAGGTCTACCGTCTCTAGCATCAATGATGAAATTGAAGTGGCACCGATATGACTCTCAATTATCACATTATTAATTTGAGTACCAATCAGATCCAAACTGGTTCAGCGCCCGCCTGAATGCCTATGTGCCGTGCCATCATTGGCTGCGTGGCAGTTTTGGCGTAGATTTGTACCAACGTGAGGCGCGCGTGACCCCATGGCAGTTGGAATATATGCCAAGACGACGGCGCACAGCGATCTGCACCGGACCACGGCCTGACCGCCTTGTCCGGCGTCCGGAACATGCACGGCGTGTCGCGATCTGTGTTACGTTTGGGTCTACCGCTGCGGGCTGTGCAACCGACATTCACATCGAGGCCCTCCACCACCACCACCAGTAGCGAGGAGGAGTCGCTGGGCGACAAATTTGTGGAAGGTCTTGCTCAAGTCGCAGGAGGAATGAATATGTTCCTGAACTAGTGAGATTGTCGTGGCAATGTGGACACTCACTTGGACAATTTCGATCAGTTTCCGATGAATATGTTTCTTCAGTTTTCCATGCACTTACTGGAGTCTGGAGATTACGTACCTCTTTGTATTACATTCTCCGTTTTAAATTATAATACAGTTTACCTTTATGCTAAGTTAAATTGCTCTAACTTTATTCATGTTCATACAAAAATACACTAACATTTACAACATAAAATAATTTTAATTAAATTCTCTAAGAAAATATGTCTTGATGATGATGTATCTGTTCCAACTTGTAGATAGTTAATATACTTTAATTTTCCAAACAAAACTTGGTTAAAGTTAGAGAAGTTCACTACCAAAAAAATCATTTTAGGAGGCACTATCTCCATAAATAGCTTGGCAGCCTTGTCGATGGGGAACCCTACGGGCCCCCATGGACCATACTGCAGGGAGGTAGACCTTGGTAACAAGGCCTACAGCCCAATCGCCAAGAAGAACGCGGAGTAAAGCAACGTGCAAAACCGAAACTCCAACGCAAACTATACAAGGAAAGGCGCCCGAAGCGTAGCTTAGGACTCTGACCTTGTATCCGAATAGGACACAAACAACGCCTCTCAGCGCCTGGACTATAAAGGGCTGGTGAGGGAACCCATTGTAAGGGAGAACGCATACCCGATACTCAAAGCAATACAACGCAAACAGGCTAACGCCAAAACTGGACGTAAGGTTATTACTCGACCAAGTCGAGGGCCTGAACCAGTATAAATCATGAGTCTCTTTGCGTAACCGTCGAATTCCGCTATTCGCCGAAGCCCGAACAACTGTCCCGGGTACCCCCGTGGCAGGCTATCGGTGGTAAAACATCGACAGCTGGCGCGCCAGGTAGGGGCTTTCGACGAATTTTTTCTCGAGAGTTCGGCGGACCTCAACCTCAAGATGACCTTTTCGGCGGGAACAACCTT